TGCTGGAGACCTGGTCTCACCAAGGAGCCGCGTGTGGGGAGGAGGGGGCAGTGCCACCTGTGCCGCCTTCCCTCTGCTCGCATCACAGCAGCGCAAGTCCTGGCCCTGCAGTGTGTTGGGGGACTGCAGCTAGCACTGGACTCCGCTGGAGGCTCCGCCCCCTGAGCCCAGGCTGTGTCCTGCTTTCAGGGAAGGGCAGACGGGCTGAGAGTGGCGTGTCTGCTTGGGCCTGCTTGCCCATGGCGGGGGCCTCTGTCCCAGTGATCCAAGCCCCGGCTTCTCACTGTGTGCAGCCTCCTTTCGGGTTCCTGACTCCAGCCTCCTGCTAATGCAGACCCCAAGGGGCAGCAGGTGGGTGATGGCTCAGGTCATTGGGTTTCTGCCACCCACGTGGAAGACCTGGCTGGGAGTTCTTGGCTCTCAGCCCTGGCCGTCAGGAACCAGCAATGGGAACTCTTCGCGTCTGTGTGTCTCAAGTAAGTAAAATTTTCAAATGCAATCCTAGCTTGGCTCCTCCTGTTTGCCATCCCTGCTGGATTGTCCTCCTTGGTGTTTCTCACCCTGGCATCCCACACACCCCACTATCCCTCTGACTCTTCTCCGATCATTGTCTCCCCCAGGGCGGAGTGTTCGCTTTCTCCGGCGCCTAGATCGGTGCCTGGCCCCGGGAACTACGGAGGGCGTGACACCGGGCCGCCTACCGCGACACACAGCAAGTGCGTCCAGCCCCCATCCCCCTGGGTTTCCTAGGCGCCGGGAGCATCTTCTGTTCCTCACTTGGTCTTCATTCCTGGTAGCGCTCCCACTCCCACGTCCCTGAGAATTCTCGCGTTTTGATGCGGCAGCTCTTGGTGGGCTCCTGGATGGTGATAATCTTGAAACTTCCAACCCACCCTGTCCTCGGGGTTGAGGAGGGAGAGACTGGAGGTTGGGTTCACGGTCATCCACCGTGCGCCGTAAAGCACGAGCGGTGCTGGAGGCTGCTGCACCCCAGGACGCTCCTGTGGCTCACCTCCCCTCCTCCCGGTGTGGCCCCAGGAAGCCGCCTGTGTGTGATTATGTTGTGCCTGTGTGTGTGTGCATGTGTGAGTGTGCATGTGTGCAGAAATGTGTGTGCATGCGTGTGCTGTGGGCGTGTGTGAGCACGTGCGTGCTCACACGGTGTTTGTGTGGGGAATGCGTGTGGGCATGTGCCTCTGTGAGCAGCTGTAAGTGCACTGGGTGTGAATGTGCATACGCGTATGAGCGTGTGTGAGTGCAGACGTGTTGTATAGGTGTGCCTGTGCTCTGAAGACAGAAGCGGAAGGGGCGGCAGCCAGCAGGGGACCTGGGCCTTCTGTGGGTCCAGCCTAGCCCCTGCCCCGTTCACTTCCGGCCACGCTATGCACCTGCCTTCAGGAATGCCTGCGGGCTGCCCTCAGCTGGGCAGAGCAGCAGCTGCCTTAGAAATAAACTCGAGTCTCCAGGCTGACTGAGCCGAGTGCCCAGTGCTGAGTGCAGGGGCGGCCAGCTGTGCTGTGTTGCAGGGAGAGGCGCGCCAAGTCCCAGGAGGCAGCTGGAGCAGGTGGAGGGGCTCCCAGGGCTCTGCAAATCATCTACATGGCTAAGAGACACAGCTGAGACATGGTCTCTGTCTGCTCGAGGCGGCCAGGAAGCCACCGGGAGAGACTGTGCCGAGACCCGCAGACCATGAAGGGGCCCGGGACACCGCAGGACCACGGGCTCCCAGGATGGCAGGGCTGTGTCTCTGGGCCTGGGGCACTGACCCTGTCCTGCTGGGTCTGGGACCACTTCCTGGGCCCCCTGGCGCCAGGTCCAGGCTGGCCTGGGAGCAGGGCTGCTCCGCCTCCTCCCTCCTATCCCAGGCTGTGGGTGGGGCCGCTGGCAGAGGAGAGCTCTGCCCCTTTCCCGCTTCTTTACCAACCGCAGGTCACCAAAGCCTTTATCGATTTTGCCCTGGATTATTTCTTAAGGTGGTTCCCTCCCCCATCCCCTTAAGAAAATCTCAGCCATGGCCTTGGGCCAAGTCAATACCCTTTCTTGCCTGGACCACCGCCCACCTCCCAGCCCTGCCCACCCCCCCAACAGGGTCTCCACAGCCCATCCTGCCCCTCTCGTGTTGCACTGCTCAGTTGCAGAGATGTAGGGGAGCATGGGGTTCCAACTGGGTCCCTTCCTGCATGGACCCAGTGGCCACTGTCCACTCTCTACCGTCCACTCTGGACTGGGCTTTCCAGCCAGTCTCTGTTTTTTAATGTATTTATTTATTTGAAAGGCAGAGTGACAGGGAGAGGGAAGGAGGGGGAGAGGGAGAGAGGGAGGGAGGGAGGAAGAGAGAGAGAGAAAGAGAGAGGGAATATCTTCCATCTACTGGTTTATTGGCCTCAGTGGCCAGGGCTGGCCCAGGCTGAAGCCAGGAACTCCATCCAGGTCCCCCCGATGGGTGGCAGGGGCCCATTTTTGGGTCCCGAGGACCTGCTCTGCCTCTATGCCAGCCACAGTGCCCCCTCTAGCAGCCGGCATCCCAGGGCTCCAGTTAGGTTAGAACTGCAACCCGGGGAACCAGGGACACCTGGGAGTAGCACCAGGGACAGTCTCAGAATCTGGGGTAAGAGCGGGTAGAAGAAAAGCTCATTTCCATCCAGGGCCTTGGACAGCCCTTCGGATCTATTTCTTGGGCTCTCTGGAGAGAGCTCTTTGTACGAAGCAGCTCTCGTCTGCTCCGCTATACACACGACACGAGCACTCCAGCACCGCCTCCTTGAAAGGGTGACTTAGTCTTTGGTCTAAATGAATTGGGCCTGTCACTTCTAAAGGATGGAGAATCTGTTATTTTCTCAGAACGGAGCACTGTGGCGTTGCCCTAAGCGCTGGGCCGGGCTTGAGGCTGTGGCATCAGGACCCCACAGCTCCTTTTCACATCGGGCGCCATTTCTCTCTTGTGCTTATTCAGTGCTGGAGCCCAGGAAGCAGCAGCCCATGGAACCAGCCACTCGCCACTGCGCAGGGCATCACAAGTGGAATTCATCCCTCCCCGGTTACAGCAGCGACTTTAAACTCGTAATGACGATCAAAGAGATTTTGCAAGTTTATTTATTTCATAGGCAGACTGTCAGAAACAGAGAAGGGGAGACAGAGGGGGAGACACAGAGACACACGGAGAGATTTTCCATCCTTACACGATGGCCAGGCAGGGCTGGGCCCATGTACTGCCCCAGGCCCCAGCAGGAACCTGGATCAGAAGCAGGCCACCCTGGACTACAGGTCGGCACCCAGAGATGGAACGCTGGCAAGCAGTGGCTTAACCCACCGGGGCACCACGCCGCCCCTAAGAGACTTTCTTTAAAGGCTACCCAGCAGTCCAGCATATCACTGATTTTGCTTCCATTTCAGCACACGTGTTGCCGATGTGAACATTGCTTCTGGGATAGAAGATGCAGTCATGTCTTTCTTCTCACCCCCCACTCTCCTTTTAGGAGAGATAGATGAGAGGATTTCAAAAAGTGCATGGAAAAACAGAATTAAGGGGCCGGCACTATGGCTTAGCGGGTAAAGCTGCCGCCTGTAGTACCAGCATCCCATACGGGAGCTGGTTCAACACTTACCTGCTCCACTTCCGACCCAGCTCTCTGCTATGGCCTGGGAAAGCAGTAGAAGATGGCCAAGTGCTTGGGCCCCTGTACCTGCATGGGAATCTGGGAGAAACTCCTGGCTCCGGATTGGCCCAGCTCTGGCCGTTGCAGCCATTTGGGGAATGAGCCAGTGAATGGAAGACCTCTCTCCCTCTCTCCCTGCCTCTCTGTAACCGCCTTTCAAATAAATAAATAAATAAAAAAACAGAACTAAGAGGAAAGTTTATTTTGGTACAAAAAATTTTGAAATCCATAGTTTTTTTTTTCCCTTTTCTCACAATGTGCATTTCCCATGAACTTGTTGAAGATTCTCGTTAGTGCAACCATTAATCCCAACTATTTCGTGGAGCTTCACCTGAGTTTCCTAGGTTAGCTGCTGTAGGAGAGAGCAAAGAAACAAAACAGCCGTGTCCTCAGGTCATGCACAAGGGTTAAGGGGAAGTGTGCTCCTCCCCCCCACCCCCTAAGAAAAGGCCTTCCTGCAGGAGAGCAGGGGGCCGTGTTCTGTAACCCTCTGAAGCCCAGGGCTCAGAAACTGCAAGGAAACCTGGTTTCTTCCCTGCCCCCTCTACGGCCTGTCTACAGAGCAGGCCTAAGGATACAAAGCAGTCTATTGAAGCTCTATTGTTACTAATACTCATCAGGGCGGAATCCCCGCACGTGCCTTCTCTGGGGCCTGAACAGCCAGGCAAGGGCTCTTCTGGCTCCTCCCAAGAGGAAGCTCCTCGCTGTGCACTGGAGGAATCCCTCTCCCTGGGCCTGGCCGCGCATCCACTACCTCCTGGCAGAGGCTGAGCCAAGGCTCGGGGCCCCGGGCCTCTCCCTCGGCGCGTGCGGCCAGCTCACTGGCAAGCAGAGGCGGGCAGGTCCTGCAGCTCCAGTCCAAAAGAAACAGCAGGAGCTGGGGTGGAGGGAGTGGTGCTGGAAACCCGGGAACAACCTTCCTCTAGATCTAGAAACCGGCTATAAATACCCTCAGCAACCGTTTCCTTTCAAAGGCCTGGGGAAAACATGCCAAGGAGATTTTTACAAATGAAAGGTTTACTTGATCCGGTAGAAGAAAACCATCATTACTTCCATAGGCTCATGAACGTCTTTGAAGGTTCACTTGTGGGGCGAGGCTGCCACCTGGCGGTCAGCACGCACCGTGGCACTAAGAGCTCAGCCACAGGAAAGCGCTCTCCGAGCAATCAGGGCAGTTAACAAACACAAGCCGAGCGCTGAGCACAGTCCTCCTCAGAGGACACCTGAGAGAAAGCAGTCGGAGCTCAGCATCTACGGTGTGTCCTGGCAAAGCGCTCCTTCTACCCACTCCATTCTGGGGACCAGGTGTACTGAAGGCTGTGATTTTAAGAAACAAAAACACACTTGGTTGTAGAAAACAATTTATTTCCTATTACACATACTTGTCTAAAAAAAGGCAGAGGCGCTTCGGGCAACACTCCACGGGAAGCGCGCTGCGCTGCGTTCCGGAAGGGCCCGGGGCGCAGTCTTCACACGGCCTTTTTCACGGCCGCCTGCGTCATGCTGAAGAGATAGGCTTCGTAGATTATATTTAAGAAGTTGTCGTCGTTCTGGAAAACAAAATCAGAGACCCAAGGGAATGCGATTGGCCCGCAGGCGCCAAGGGCTTCCTGCGCCGACCTGGGGCTGACCCAGCGTTCAGCTACAGGTTGAGGGTGTCCAGCCGGCCTGGCGGTGAGGCCAGGCAGAGCTGGGGGTCTCCACCTGCCAGTGGGGGTGAGCTAAGTGCTTGCCACACACGGCACGGAGGGGGCCCCAGCCCTGTGGCCTGCGGGGGCGCAGGTTCCTTGTGGACAGCCGGGTCTGCTGCATGAAGACACCTGGCAGCTGGGCGGAGTGGGAGGAAGCCACCTGGGTCGGTGGCTGGCGGAGCTGGGCTCAGAGGCACCCACGTTGCCCACAGTGTGTGTCCTTTCTTCCTGGCATTAACTGGGACTTCTCTTGCAGTCTGCCTCATCCGACCCAGGGTCGTTCTTCCCTGAAGCTCTTCTGCCTGACTAAGCTGCAAGCGAGAACCGTGGCTCTCCCCAGTCTCTCACGGGTCTCCTACATTCTCATTCCAGTCTTCTCCCTCCCCCTCGAATGTTTTAAGGCAATTCGCCACACTTGCCCCACATTCCCCCTTGGCACCCCTCACAGACCTAGCACCACTGCCAGCAACAAAGACAGCCATGCCATCCCTGTTCCTCCTACAAAGCCCCCACCATGACACGTGACCGACACTGCACGTGGACTACAGAGGAACTGGCTCTGAGACGGATGCCTAGAACACAGGCAGAAGCACAACGCATGCTGGGAGTGGAACCAGCAGAAGAGGATTCCTAACCAGCAACGCACAGGGGCTGCTCTAGGCTCCAGAGTCTCGCAACATGATCGGAATGGAATGAACCAGAAAAAAATGATGCATCTTTAAAATTCAGGTCTAAGTTGGTTTTTTTTTTCTCTCTCTCTTTTGTTGCCCACGGTAAAGTTTAGATATGTCCTTTCTAAATTCTCATGAACTTACAGAGCTTTTAAAAAGTGGAAGTATTTTTATCCTGTGAGCTGGCAAGGCCCAGCTGTTTGCTGTGGCCCGTTTCTATCAGATGGCCACTGTGCTTTCACATTCACAGGCTGTTTCTAGGCCCCATCTTTCCATTCTCTCTAAAATAGGCTCCTTCTAAAAACTGACTTCATGGGCTATGTGGGGGGCGCAGTGCTGTAGTGCCAACATCCCATATGGGAGCTGGTTCGAGTCCTGGCTGCTCCACTTCCAATCCAGCTCCCTACTAAGGGAAAGTAGCAGAGGATGGCCCAACTGCTAGGGCCCCTGCATCCTCTTGGGAGACCTGGAGGAAGCCCCTTGCTCCTGGCTTTGGATTAGCTCAGCACCAGCCATTGTAGCAATTTGGGGAGTGAACCAGCGGATGCAAGACTTCTCTCTGACTCTAGCTCTCTCTGGAACTCTTTCAAAATAAAATAAATCTTTTAAAAAATTTAAAAATTAAATAAAAACCCTGACTTTGCTAATAGAGTTCGTGATCACTTCTCAATCGTCATGTCAACATGAATATATTGTAGGATGCTGTGGATTGAGCACATTGTGAGCACCCCCTGCCCCGCTCCACACACACAGCACTTTTTTTTTTTTTAATAGACTTATTTATTTATTTGGAGTTAGTGAGAGAGAGAGAGACAGACAGAAAGGTCTTCCTTCCATTGGTTCACTCCCCAAATGGCCACTATGGTCGGCGCTGCGCCGATCCAAAGCCAGGAGCCAGGCGCTTCTTCCCAGTCTCCTATGCGGGTGCAGGGCCCAAGCACTTGGGCCATCCTCCACTGCCTTCCCAGGCCACAGCAGAGAGCTGGACTGGAAGAGGAGCAACTGGAACTAGAACCGGGTGCCCATATGGGATGCCAGCGCCGCAGGCAGAGGATTAACCTAGTGAGCCTTGGCGCCAGCCCCCCCCCGCCTTTTTTTTTTAAAGATTTCTTTGAAAGTCAGAGTTACACAGAGGAGAGGCAGAGAGAGAGAGAGAGGTCTTCTATCCGCTGGTTCACTCCCCAATTGGCCGCAATGGCCGGAGCTGCGCCGATCCAAAGCCAGGAGCCCACAGCTTCTTCCGGGTCTCCCAAGCGGGTGCAGGAGCCCAATAACCTGGGCCATCTTCTACTGCTTTTCCAAGCCACAGCTTGGAGCTGGATCAAAAGTGGAGTGGCTGAGTCTCGAACCAGCCATATGGGATGCTGGCGCTTCAGGCCAGGGCATTAACCCGCTGCACCACAGTGCTGACCTCGGCACTTCTTCTTAAGAACCAGTAGGTGGGGCCGGTATCATGGCGCAGTAGGTTAATCCTGACTGCAGTGCCAGCATCCCATATGGACACCAGTTCTAGTCCTGGCTGCTCCACTACCGATCCAGCTCTGCTATGGCCTGGGAAAGCAGTAGAAGATGGCCTGAGTGCTTGGGCCCCTGCACCCACGTGGGAGACCAGGAAGAAGCTCCTGGCTCCTGGCTTCAGATCGGATGGGCTCAGCTCCAGCCGTGGTGGCCTCGGTGTCCTTATCTGTGACACGGGGAAATGGGTTGAAGGAGTTATGCGAGTAGTGCCCAGCACAGAGACTCCATAAGTGGAGCTGTTTTTGTTATGATTATGTTAGAGACAAGTGGCTGACACAGAGGCGCGCCATCCCATCCTACCTAATTAACAGGTTTCAAAATTCGCAAAGCCTGCTTTTGGCAGTCACAGCATCACCTGCTTCCTTACCTGTTTCCTACTAACAGTCTGCTGGGACGCGGCTGTCGGCTGTGCTTCCCAGGGGCCCCCGCGGCGCCTCCTTAACCATCGGGACACCTCCTCTTCTGACAGGTGACAGACTGGTAGCCAGAAACCCCCCCCCCCCAATGCTAAAAGCTCTTGCAGAGCTGAGGCACGCAAAGCCCCAGCTGCATCCCAGCTGGGAAGCCCGTGGGGCAAGGGTGAGCTGCTGCGGGGAGGCCCAGGGAAGCACTGCCCGGGTCTCCAGCTCGCAGTCCCGACCCGCAGGGCCCAGCTCGTGGAGGGGCTCGGGAGGGATGTGCCCTTACCTGAATGAGGTACAGCAGGGCCTCCTGAAGCTGTAGCTTGGTGAGCGGGCTGCTGGAGCCCACCAGGGGCTCCGGGCTCTGCAGGGGCACCAAGAGGCTGCTGGAGGTAGCGGGCGGTCCGTGGCCTCCCAGAGGCCAGAGCCCACCGTCCCTCTCCCTGGGCGGGGCAGAGGCGCAGTGTGCGAACACCGTGGGGGCCAGGAGCAGAGCAGGAGCGGCCGTGGCGGGGATGTGCGGAGGTGAGGCGACCTGCTTACGGCAAACACACACACACACACACACACACACATAGAAGGCACGGTAAGGAACAACTCGGTGCAGCGCGAGGCACCGGGAGACAGAGGGGCAGGACATGTTCTGTGCACACTGTTCCCAGCTGTTGTGTAACGGGCTCCTGGTCCCTTCTCCAGGGTTTCCTCCCAGGGGCCCTAGGCATCTCGGGGTGATCTGCTGTGCCCGCTGTGCATGGAACGAGGCCTGTGTGTGGTGCTTTGTGCTGCAGGCTCGCCATCACTGCTGGGCAGCGTACACTCAGGCCCACTGGCCTGCCCGGGGCCAGCTGGCCACTGCGCTGGCCTAAGGCCCACAGTGTCCGAGCATGTGGCTCTTACGTGTTAGGGGCAGGCCCCTCAGCCCTACCTTGGGGAGCGGGGGTTGTGGGATGAGCCCCTTGCTCCTCTGCTGCCCTCACCCCTTCTTTCTGCTGTTCCAGGCTGAGGTGTGGGGACAGGCTCGGCATTACTCGGCAGTGCCAGCGACTCACCTGTCTGCGTCTAACTCACTTGGCTAACAGACCTAAAACCAAGTTCTCCAATAACTTTCTGTTACGCAAGTGACATTTTGATCCCCAGCTGAGTGACTCCTACAGCGCTCACTGGTGCGAACTCAGGGAAGAAAAAGGAAAGTTATCGATCAGCCTCCTAATACCCCAAAGAACCTGTGAGAAGGGCACGGAGGCCAGCATGATGCAGGCCCTGTGGCACCCCGCGCAGAAGGAAGCCTACAGGAGCCAGGCGGGTGAGTTGCTTGTGCCTTGGCCCTCGCTGCTGCTCCAGGGAGAGGTGCTGAGAGTGGCTGCCCCAGGGGAGAAGTGGCAGCCGTAAGAAGAGCACAGTGTGGGCTGACAAAATGTACACTTTCCTTACTTGGCTCCTGACATTTGTGAGTACTGGAAGAGAATTATACATGCAGAAATTTAAGTCAAACTATTAACCCCAGTTTTCTGATTCTAAATTACCACAGAGAGGGGGGAAAAAAAGCAAAAAAGTCTTACAAAGGGGACAATGTTCCACTGAAATGAGGGTACTCAGAGTTAGGACTTTCGATAAATAGCGAGAAGGCTCTGTCTCGACGTCTCACATACACATGCACTTAGGGTGCACGCCTAAGGTCTTTACTTCCCTAAAGGCAAGATTTTCGAGGCACTGTCAGAAGCTACATGGCCTATAAAACAAGTAGAGCGCACTTCCCAGTTTTGAAACCCAATGCCTGGTCAGCAAATGCACAGGGCTCGGAGCCAGACCTGCAGGTGCTGCCCCCAGGCTGTGGTCTGCGCACTGTTCCAAGTTACTGACCGGCACACGGAGCCACCTGCCACCTGCCCTGAAGAATGGGATCTTTCTGAAATGGACAACATTCCCCTCTGGCACTGGGAGTTGTGGGTGGGTGGCACACGTATCCCTCTCCCGATCTTAACTATGCAGTACTGATGGCCTAGGGATAAATAAAAACAGGCTGGACCTTTAAGCGTTAATATGTTTCCTGTTTCCTTCAAGAATCTCCAGGATTACAGGCTCTGGAGAGGGAGGGATTTTTCTTCACCATTATATAGCACAAGGCCTGGCATGCAGAAAGTGCTCAAAATATTTACTAAGTCAATGAGTAAAAGATCGTTTACTGTGGACTGATAAAACAAGGTGGGAGTTGTTTGGTATCGAAGGATGACTTCAAAGCAGACTACATGGACGCTCCACCGTCACAGGTGGGAGTGTTTTCCATGTCTACACTGGTCCTCACACCCGGTGACAGTATGAAGTGAGAACTCTTCAAGTAAACTATGGCTAATGGCAGGGGGCGGGAGCAGCAACCGTCCGCCCAGCAGAAAGTTAAGGACGCAATGAGATGCACGCACGGGGTTCTCAGCTCCTGCGCTGAACAAAAATGTGCGTGATGTGCAGTCCCTACAGCACAGGAGGGGAGTCTAAATTTCACTGCAGGGACAAGCGGTTGGCCTAGAGGTTAAGATGTGGGTGTCCCACGTGGGAGTACCTGAGTTCAAGTCCGGGCTCCTGCCCCTGACTCCAGCTTCCTGCTGACGCACACCCTGGGAAGCAGCAGCTGATGGCTCAAGTACTTGGGTCCCTGCCATTCAGCTCCTGGCCTTGGCCTGGCCCAGTCCCAGCTATCGGATGCATTTTGGGGAGTGAGCCATTGGAGGGAGAGCTCTGTCTTTCTGCCTAATAAACAAATACATTTCGCCGCATGACAGTGATCCCTTGTTTTATTTTTCTGGTCCTTGGTCGATAGTTACCTGAAGGAAACGAGCCTGCTTTTCTGTGCCGGATGTCGTCTTGTTGATCCAGGACTCCAAGGGCTTCCCAGTCCGAGAGCCCTGAGCTGCTGCAGGAAACTTAGCTGCCAGGGCTGGCCGGGTGGGCACGGGCAGCTGCTGCTCCTGCGGCACCACCTGCAGCTTCCTCAGTAGCTCCGGAGGGGCTGCCACCCGGGGACTGCTTGCTGGGGTGCTGGAGGGAGGGCCCGTCTGTCTAGGGAACGTGGCCCGCTCTTTCCCATGAGCCTGAGGTCCTAGCGTGTGCGGCGGGAGGGTGCCATTGAAAGATAGCAGTTGCGGCTGTGCCACGCCCTTGGCTGGGGTGGCAGCGGCGAGAGCTGTGCTGCAGCCGGGGGCAACCGGCCCGGCAGGGGCTGCTGTGCCACGGTCATGCTTGTCCGCTGGCCCTGGCGCGCTGTGAAGCTTCTCCAGCAGGGTCTGAGCTCTGCAAGCGCTCTGTGGAGCATGAGCAGCCCTGGCGGTACAGGGTGACCCAGGTGGGATGGCCGGACGGGGGCTTCCCTCTTCACGGGGCCGGCTCTCGGGCAGCTCTGACCATGGGTGGAGGTCTGCGCCCCGGACCATGAGTTTCTGAATAGCTGGACAGAGCTGCTTCTCCACCGGCGGCGACTGCCTTTTGGGTTCCTCATAGGACAGGGAGCGCACGACCCCTTGCCTTACTGGGAGCTTCTCGTGCTGCTGCTGGGCCTGGAGGGCCTGTGGGGGCTCCACGGCTTCTGAACTTGTGGCTCTGTCCTGCTTCCCAAACAGAGCTGTCAAGGATAAGTGTTGGGGTTCAGGGTCTAAGGTCTGGAAAAAATAAAGAAATCTGAAAATGGGTCCACAGACACTCCTGAGGGGCGGGGTGGAGCCCTAGTGTGCCTGCCTGGTGACTTCTCTACTTATAAAGGATAGCTCGGGCAGCATCAAAACACTTCCTTGTTGAATGACCAAAATTTGAAGCTTCCTTCGTCAAGTCAAAAATCTGCACGGCCTTTTCCCCGCAGCCCAAGCCAAGCCCCTGCTGACACCTTAGTGTATGCTATGGGTCAGACAGCGCCTGCTCCTTGGAGGCCCGGGCTTGCAGCTGGGACCACTGTGGAAGGAAATTAGACAAACTACCTGGGGAATAACCCCTCCAAAGGAAAGTTTATCTAACCCTGCAGACCACAAGAAGATACTGAGAATATACAGGGATGTGAAGGTTTCAGCATTCCTGGTAGTTTTTCTTAGAATCTCTAACTTGTTTGTTCCAAGTATATACCTGTAGCTTTTAAAACATTATCAAGAGGCTGGCACTGTGGCATAGCTGCCACCTGCTGTGCTGGCATCCCATGTGGGCTCCAGTTCAAGACCTGGCTGCTCCACTTCCAATCCAGTTCCCTGTTATGGCCTGGGAAAGCAGTAGAGGATGGCCCAAGTCCTTGGGCCCCTGCACCTGCGTGGGAGACCTGGAGGAAGCTCCTGGCTCCTGGTTTCGGTTCAGCCCAATTCCAACAGCTGTAGCCATTTGAGGAGTGAACCAGCAGATGGAAAACCTCTCTTTCTCTCTCTCTCTCTCTCTCTCTCTTTCTGCCTCTGCCTTTCAAATAAATAAATAAATCTTAAAAAAATTCATCAGATAAATACAATATACCTTGGCCTGGCCAATTACCAAGCTACTCCTTTCCTACTCTGTGTCAGGCCCTTCTTCTTCTTGGTGCTTTCTGCACTGTCACATGAAGAACAACATGAGCTTCCTGTCAAAGTCAACATATTCTGGTTTCTCTATTAAAATACAAAGAACATTTCCATAGAAAACCAATAACAAAGGGAAAGTTAAAAGAAAGTGAAAACGCCTTCTTTTTAAAAAAGTTCAATATCGGACTCTCACGAACCAGTCTTTATGTCTGTTGGTTCCATGTTCATTTTCAAAACTGATTTAAATTGATTCCTTCAAAAACCCTTTGATAGGAATAACCACGGTCACATGACACACACAGATGAAATGTAGTCAACAGGAGCCTGCAGATTATCAAGATTTGTTACAGCTGTGCCATACTGAAGACTACACACAGGGTATAAGACCTGTGATTGCATTTCCATTTTAGATTGCAAAAGCAATGGCCAGTCACCAGGTCCCAAGGGGAGTGTGAAGCCACTCCTTTAGACTCGGAGCTCTGAGAACAAGGGACACCTTCAGGCCACACAGAGCCTGGCATGATGCCTGGCCCGAGGGAGGTGCTCAGACATGTGATGCTCGACTCTGCTGCCTCCGCTGCTGGTCCCTTGGTGACCTTGGGAAACCACTGGCCCCAGAACAGGAACCCAAGGGTAATATTCCTGTCACCTCTGACAATGCTATTAGTTGTCTGTTCAGATCCACAAAGGATGGGGACAGAAAGTGGTAAATACCAGAAGTAACCATCTGAGCCCTTTCCCAGGAGGAGTGGGGAATCCGAGACCTCTCTTCCTTGGAGGGACTTGACAGCATGCCCTGACAGCACCAGGTCCTCCCTAGCAGTTCCCCGGGGAGCCGCTGCACACCAAGGGCCCACTACCTGGCTGGGCCGAAGGATGCACGGCTGCTGGGTTTCACTGGCTTTCACTGGAATTGGTTTGATGAGATTGGGGTTGTCATGGATGGCAGACGAACTGGTTATCTGTTTCGGCTCAGGACAGGTTTTACACTGAAATGGAAAACACACATGTTACTTTTTGGTATTAAAAAAAGGCTTTAGTTTGTAAAAAAGAATATGCTTTCTTGCTTCTTATCTAATTGTTAGAAGGTTATTTTTTGAAGACTTTCTTGCATAAGGGAAAAATCCCTTCAATGTCTCTGACAGAGCTGTATTTCAGTGTAAATCAAATTCAAATTTGATTTTTACTTAGCTGTACAATTCAGAGCCCTAAAATATTACCAACATCAGCCTGACCTAGAGACACTGAGAAATGTGGATAATTGAAAGGCTATTTATATTCTTAAGCAACAGTTTAAATATATTTACTCTAATGCTTTTCAGTGATAACATAATTAAAGAAACTATTCCTTAAATAACATGTCTGGACTACTCCATTGGCAGCTGACTTAAAATTGGAGAGTTGCTGAGTATATTTAGTCAAAGCAACTGAACCTTTTTGGTCTACAAACCAGAAAGGAAAACTGACTGAAACCACTGATTTAAAAATTACTAACATCATCTTTATTTAATAAATGGCTTCGTGCATAAACAGAATAATTCAAATCTGAGTGTTCTGAGACACTCACTACAAATTAGAATTTCATAGAGAAAGAGACAAGAGACAAGCCTCATCATTTCAAATACTCACTCATTATCATACATTAATGTAACCAACCATGCAATTGCTAACGCAGTAGGGTTCAGAACAAAAGGAGCACAGCAGTGATGCTGGGTGTCTATTTTGTTCTATCAAATAAGACAAAAATGGTACCTTCTCTACTATGAGGGTACTTCAAAAATTCATGGAAAAATGAACTTAAAAAGTATATTTTGGTTTAAAACTCTTTTGAAATCAATGCACAGTTTTCATAATACGTGTTTCCACAAACTTCTTGAAGACACCGTCTATGCCTGGATTTCAAATTCTTTTGCACTAAAGTAAACCTATCTATTCCATTTCCGTAAGTACACGCATACGGCTCCTCTACAGCATTGTGAGTTTCAGCAGTAGAGCCAAAGCCTTGGGCCAGAAAACATTTCCCATGTATCTGACATGGAATGAGCCACAAACCCAATCTTGCCCCTCAGGGACCCAAGGCTCCCTGTGTGTTTTACAGTTCTTGGAGGCATACTTTCTAATTCAAGGGTGTGGGGGTCTGAGACTTATTACCACTGTGTACACTGAGGTCTGTAAGGTAAGCCATATAGAAGATTAATTATTTTCTTCCATGAATTCTGTTAATTGTTCAGATATTTGGCACTAATGTCAACAAGGTTGTGAAATGACATTATAAGTCATCAAGTATTACTGCCAGTTCTTCAGTGGTTACCAGTACGGTTACATGGACCCCAAGATGTGGATGATCAAGACAACACAAGAATTCAGCCTTAAGATACAACCACCGCTGTGGTGTAGTGGGTAAAGCCACTGCCTGCAGTGCCGGCATCCCATATGGGTGCCAGTTTGAGCCCCAGCTGCTCCACTTTCGATCCAGCTCTCTGCTGTGGCCTGGGAAAGCAGTAGAAGATGGCCTGAGTGCTTGGGCCCCTGCACCCACGTGGGAGACCCGGAAGAGGCTCCTGGTGCCAGATCAGCACAGCTCCGGCCGTTGAGGCCTACTGGAGAGTAAACCAGCAGATGGAAGACATCTCCCTCTCTGCCTCTCCCTTTCTCTCTGTGTAACTCTTTCACATAAATAAATCTTAAAAAAAAAAAAAAAAAAATACAGCCACTTGCAGAGGGTGAGCATGGAAAGCCTGTAACTTCCCCCTGCTGGTAAAAGGAAGTGAGCTGCCACTCCTTGGACTTCTTCAGGGAAGCTGAGTTCAAGCAAAGAGAAAGATTTTCCCACCCTCCCCACACCCATAGCCATAGGGGCCAATATGTTGCTTTCTCTTTTTAACAAAAAAAATTATGTATTTATTTTAAAGTCAATGAGAGAGAGAGAGACAGACAGACAGACAGAGACATCTTCCATCTGCTGGATCACTCCTCAAATGGCCACAACAGCAGTGAGTGGGCCAGTCTGAAGATGCCAGGAGCATGGAGCATTTAAGAGACTTAAATGTAAGACTGGGGGAAAGGGAGAGGGGCCTTGTGGTACAGTGGCTAAGTCACCACCTTGGATTCAGGAATCCCATATCTGAGTGCCAGTTCAAGTCCTGTCAGTTTACTTCTGATACAGATCCCTGCTAATGTGCCTGGGAAGGCACAAGTACTCCTGTCACCCACATGGGAGAGCAGGATGGAGTTCCTGGCTTCTGTCTGGCTCAGCCCTGGCTACTGTGGCCATTTGGGGAGTGAACCAGCAGATGGAAGATTCTCTCTCTCTCTCTCTCTCTCTCTCTTTCTCTCTCCCTCCCTCCCTCCTTCTCTCCTTCCTTCCTTCTCACTCTGTTATTTGCCTTTCAAATAAATAAATGTATAAAAAACCATGTATAGAAACTGTAAAACTACCAGAGAAAAACACAGGGGAAGAGTTCCAGGATACTGGTCTGGCCAAGAAAGCAACAGACACATGGGATTACATCAGACTAAAAATATCTGCACAGCAGAGGAGGAATTAACAGCATAAGAGACAACCTATGGACTGGGAAATAATATTTGCAAACCAAACATCTGACAGAGGGTGAATATCCAGATATATAAGAAAGTCAATGGTAAGAAAACAACCTGGTTAAAAAATGGGCAACAGAATTGAACAGACATTTATCAAAAGAAGATGTACAAATGGCTGAAAGGTACATGAAAAATTCTCATTATCACTAATCATCAGGGAAATGCGAATCAAAACCATGTGGGCATAGTGTGTAAAGCCACTGCCTGCAGGGCCAGCATCCCATTTGGGTCCAGCTGCTCCACTTCTGATTCAGTTCTCTGCTGTGGTCTGGGAAAGCAGTAGGAGATGGCTCAAGTGCTTGGGCCCATGGACCTGTGTGGGAGACCTGGAAGAAGCTCCTGGCTCCTACCTTTGGATTGGACCAGCTCTGGCCATTGTGGCCATTTGGGAAGTGAACCAGTGGATGGCAAACTTCTCTATCTCTCTCTAACTCTGCCTTTCAAATAAATAAATAAACCTTAAAAAAAAAAAAAAGATAAAAGGTGCCAGCGAGAATGTAGAGGAAAGGGAATGCTTGCACACTGGTGGTAGGAATGTAAATTAGTAGACACTGTGGACAACAGTATGGGGGCTCCCCAGAGAGTTAAAAATAGATCTACCACGTGATGCAGCAATTCTACCACAGGATATTCATCCAAAGAATCTGAAGTCAGCCTGTCAAGGATATATCTGCCCTCCCATGGTCACTGCAGCATTATCCTCAATAACCAAGATTTGGAATCAACCTAAGTATCCATGAGTGGATGAAAGCAGAAAGAAAATGTGGTATATACACACAATACAACACTATCAGGCCTTCACAAAGGAGGAAATCCTGGTGTGTTTGGCAATGTGGATAAACCTGGCAGACGTTTTATTATGTGAAATGAGCCAGGCACAGAGAGACAGATACCATGTGGCCCTATCTTATGTGTGGAATCTAAAAAGGTTGAACTCCTAGAAGCAGAGGGGAGACCAGTGGTTATCAGAGTCTGGGGGCTGTGGGCCTGGGGCTGTTGGTCAAGGAATATAAAATTCCAGTTAGCAAGAATAGGTTCAAGAGATCTTCTGTGATCACAATTAATAACAGTCTATTATGCATTTGGAAGTTGCTAAAAGCAGATTTTAAGTGTTCTTGTTACAAAAAACAAGCATATGAGATAATACATATATATTACCTTGGTTTAGCCATTCTACACTAAATGCATTAAGTCAATATCATAAACCTTAATTCATAAAATTTTTATTTTTCAATTAAAAAATATAAACAACTTAACAAAACAGAAAAGTACTCTACAGTTTGAAACAATCTGAGAAATCCAGTTTAGAGGCTGGCATGTGGCCAAGAGGGTTAAGCTGCTGCTCTGACACTGGCATCCCATACTACAGAACCTGTTCAAGTCCCAGCTGTTCTACTTCCAATCCAGCTCCCTGCTACTGTGCCTGGGAAAGCAGCGGACGATGGCCCAGGTCCTTGGGTCCCTGCCACCTATGTGGAAGACCCGGATGGTGTTTCAGGCTCCTGGCTTTGGCTTAGCCCAACCGTGGCCATTTGTGGAGTAAACCGATGAATGGAAGACCTCTCTGTCTCTCTCCCTCTCTTTCTGTCACTATGCAAGTGTGACAGATGTTTTTTAGTTTGATGTAATCCCATTTATCTTTTGTTAGTTTTGTTACCTGTCCTTTAATGTTATATTCAAAAAGTCAATAAATATTAAAAAATTATTTAAAAAGGGGGCTGGCATTGTGGTATTGCGTGTATAACCACTGCTTGTAACACCAGCATCTCATATGGGCATCAGTTTGTGTCTTGGCTGCTCCACTTCTGATCCAGCTCCCTGCTAATGGCCTGGGAGATGCAGCAGAAGATGGTTCAAGTGTTTGAGCACCCTGCCACCCCTGTGGGAAACCTGGAAGAAGCTCCTGGCTCCTGCCCAGCCCAGCACTGGCTGCTGTGGCCATCTGGGGAGTGAACCAGTTGGATCCAAGATCTCTCACTGTGTCTCCCCCTCTCTCCATAACTCTTTCAAATAAATAAATATTTTTAAGAATAAAAACTTATTAAAAAAAGAAACCTTCCAGTATAATACTTACCAAGAGAAAGGAAATTTCTTTATAACATCCCTGGCAAGTAATCATTCAGTTTCTTCTTAAACACTTCCAATTATGGGGATTCCCTACCCTATATCAAAGATTCTGAGGAGAAATCTTGTTTTCTCTCTTACCCTCTTCCCAGTCCCCCCTTGCTTGTATCTCAGAACCATTCATGACATCCAAATTTTCTGACATGTCTGCATTTGGGAGAGCAGACATGACGTGACGGAAAGGACTTTAGAAATGAGTCTTGGAAGACTGATCACATTTTGACAAAGGAAGACAGGGAGGGGACATAAGAAAGGCATGCAGGCA